GAATTGCAATAAGTCGAAACTTTACGATCGGTCGATCGGTGGCGTTACGTGCACGTAGGATTCAAGGACAGGCCACTGATGGAGAGTATAAGGAAGGAAGGAAGGAAAAAGGGATTGCAATTTCGTTCCTGACGTTCGTCTATTGTGCGTCTCACCTACCATAAACAGATGAGGTCCATGGGATTATTTTAGTGGCGGTATATCATTCGCAATTTATTTCTACCGCTCTTGAGCAGTCAAACGTTCATTGCCGTTTAAATGGGATTTTCGAGTTTCCTCGAGGACCTGGAAAATATTATGTACCTCCCTTCCCTGACCTAATTGCCGTACCCGTCGAAACTATGATTTACTGTTTCACACCCAGAAGCTCGTTATTAGAGTGATTTGAACTCTAACGACTCCCAATACTTTTCTCCGTTTCGGTGTTACGGACGAATTAAGCGTTCACGAATTTCGTAAACGTGTCCGGCCGCGGCTGGTTGTGTTGGAAATTAATAACGAATGGCCCGTGATTATTGCTTATTTAAATTCTTGGATTATGCAAGCTCTGAGTGCAGACGCAAATGATTAATTAGCCGGTACCATTATAATTATGAGAACGCCAAGCGGCGGGATGACGGCATGATAGTAAATTAAATTGTTACGGTCCAATTAAAAATGTAATACGACGGAACGGGGTTCGTTTCGGGGATGGACTTCAATCCGCGGGCATACGTGTACCTATATTACCAATTTCGAAGCGTTAGTGTCGAGAAATCAAATGGAATTCGTAATGATTACGTAATTTCAACGTTTATTGTGCTCACCTTTGACGTGACTACGGATGATTAACATTAAACGATAATTATCCGATAAATTGTACTTTAATAACTTCGTGGTTATGAATAATTGTAATTGCTCGACATTTTTCTTAATTTCACGATAAAACCAACGGGGAACGTTTGATATATCGACGCTCGTTTCAAGATCCGTTCTCAAGGTCCAAGGGTAAGCAGTTATAGCGGGTCGGGGAAGGAATTTAATCCTCGGCTAGCGAGGGCTAAGGGTTCAAGAGCGAATGAAGTTTCATTAAAAAATCTAATTTTCAAGGGGGACTACGTTTAACCTGGGGGATAGAATTAAATTTTACGTGCTTCCTTTTCTGCTCACGGAAGCATGAAACTTGGCTTGTTCAGGAGATGCCTAGAGCAGGCTAGCGGATGACATCTCGACGGAGAATACGCTAATATGTATTATACTATATATTCCAAGCTGAACAACAGAGTTAACTGTTGTTTTTTTTTTTACTTATTCATTTTCGTTGATGTATTACAGGATTATTCGTTTCGTATGCATTCCTTTATATGCATGTATGTGAGATTTTCCGTCGTGAGTACGGTGGACACACGGGTTACTGAAAGTCTTCGTTTCAAGTGTACACTTACAGAGGGACTGAGCTTAATGTAAACGGATCTACATATTCAGCCAGTTAATTGCCTGACTCGTGTGATGCGGGTATCATGGTGAAGATTAGCGAAACCTCACAGAGCATGAGAACTAAACCAAGCGATTCGCGCATCAAGTTTATGCGCCAGCCGTGTACTACATTCCGAATGAGGAGATCGTCGAAACTGTTGGAACCTACGGTTAAATTTAAACTACTTTCTGATATCGGATTTAATATGGGATACGCTCCAAAAGAACCTGCCAGCCTGGTGATATTCAAAAATTGAACAAGATATCGGATTAAAGAGAAATCGCTGATACAACCTAATTTACCCGGTAAAATTAGCAATTCGTGGAGCAGAAACTCTCAGGCATGTAATTATATCCTGAGGTAAATTGAAAGAATGAATCCTATAGACAAATACAAAATTATGTAGAGTCTTTCTTCATTTTACTATTATGTATGTCGCTATTCCTATAAGTAGTTAGTTAACAAAGCAAAAGGAAGTATTGATAAAATAGACATAGTGCAGAACAGACTCAGAAAGAGTTAGATGTCTAAAGATAGAGAGTCTTGGGTCTCTGAGTCCGGGACTTTTTGGGCTTGGAATATTGGGTTCGGGGGACCTCAGGCTTGAGTTCTGGGATCGGAGGAATTTTGAGCTTCGGTCTTGAATCAAATCAAACGTATTCAATATATGGATTTGACGTAATTCAATATATGGATTAAACGTTTGATTTGAGCCTTTCGATTCTACGTTAATACCACTAGTTTTGGTTTGATACTATTTAAGTATCTCGGTCCTAGGTTGGTTCTATTCGAATTTCTCAGACCTAGGTCGGTTCGATTCGAGCATTTGAGTCTCACATTGATTGGGTTCAAGTCGGTCTGTAGTGAGTTGGTTCAACAGGATTCTCCCATACCTAGGTTTACCCTATTCAAGCCTCTCTGTCTGTGGACGGTCCCATTCGAGGCTCATATTCCTGAGTTGGTCCAACTCGAGTCTTTCTGTCCTATATTGATCCTACTAGAGTTCTTATACCTCAGGTGTTCTCAGTCGAGTCTCTCGTGTGAAACATATATTACTATAACATTATACCAACAGTTTATTGTTCATGTTTCATACTTCATCTGCTTTTACTTATACATATGATAATTACTTTAAGTATTCAGTAATCATCTTTCTTTAATATTTATTTAACTTTAATCATTTAGTGATTTCTACTTTTATTTTGACGCAATCCCGAAAAATTTTCAGCGATGCATTATTCAAGTTTGAAAAATGTTTGGAAGCAGAAAAATGTCTCCGTCGTATCCGGCAGCTTTACGTAAATGTATCGGGAAAGCGGATGACGCTCGGGTGAACTGTCCGCCAAATCTGTCGGACGACAGAATTTATTCAACTTCGAAAAGAAATTCATAAAAACCTTTTTCGCGAATTCACACTTATATATTCGCTCTACCAGAGAAATTTAATCTCTGGGACAGTAGGTTGGAAACACCGTAGCTTTCTCGTTCACCCACGATCCTTAAATATACATATATACGCCCCATTGAAACATTTCACGGTACGCATTCTCCTTTCTGCCGTAGGAACAAAAATTTTGTAATTTGCACGAGTGACCAACGCGAGCGCGCGCGCTTGCGTATAGACAGTTTCACCTTTGATCACCGTATGTTTGATGAAACGCATATTTTTATATTTCATGCTTGCTTCAGCAAAGCTTAAGGGACGAATAAACAGCTGACTCGCGTTTATGCATTACAAATATCGCAATATTCATTTTTCGGTCGAAGCAACGAGAAATTATTTTGTTCACTGGTGTCGAACTGTAATTAACGTTTCCTGAACGAAGAAAGAGAAAAACCATGACGAAACGGTACGACGCATTAAACGAACTTTAGTCGTTGATTTTCGTACGATGATACGAAAAAATCAACCCGTAGGTATACACGTAAATTGCAACCCAGTTTTGATAAACGTTAATTACTTTCGAAACCCCCAGTAACCGACGGACATGAAAAAAACCGTGAAATTTTATATTTTTACGGCAGAACATTCGCCGTTTCCCCGTTTAAAATCGTGTCTATCGTCGTTACGCGATCGATCCGCGAGCATTACACAAAACGTTAGCTGTGTAGACGAAGGCTACTTCAATATTTCGAACGGGCCCCGACTCCATTCGGCTACATAATACCGTCTTATCCTTAAAAGGACCATCGTCTTTCCCCCAAACACGAAGGGTCAAAACACTTCCGTGCACTTGTTCGTACGAAATCCATACTCCGTGAGTATGATAAAAAGATTCCCCATTCCCCTGTTCCTTCTGCCCGTGACTTCCTATTCTCGCTCTCCGCCTCCTTTCCATCCCTCACCAACATTGCCCATACCCCCCTTTCCTTTTTTCTGATCCTACAAGAATGGACGGGGCTCGAAGTGGCGAGAGCATGTGCCCCGGATTGGTCGGCGGGGTGAAGGGGGGGAGGGGGCTTGCCACTTTGGGTGCCGGTCGTTCGAAACACGGCTGAACCGAGCCGAGTCGACCGGGCCGAGGAAGGGTTGTACCCGGAGCACCGAAATATTTCTAAAAGAACGCGGCGGGCTGACTGGAACGAGATCCGCGAAGTCCTTGGAAAGGGTACAACCCGACGCGAGGCTGAGGAAATGTGAGAACGCAAGACGTAGGAACGGGGAAAAGAAAGATGGTGAAACGGAGAAAGTGGATGGCAAGAGTGAAAGAAAGACAGAGCACGCGAGTGGGACGAAGGGTAGGGGGGGAGAAGTATTCAGGAAGGTGGTACGAGAAGTGAGGTATATACCGAAGAAACGGGTGGTCGTTCGGTCGTACGTGAAGGGTTGGCGTTAGGCAGTTGGAACGTGGAATAGCGAGAAAAAGGATAGATCGAGAGAGAGGGAGAGAGAAAAAGAAATGAAGCGTGGTAGGGTGAGAGTAAGGGCAAAAGGACGACAAGGGGTGAGGGGAACGACTGTGTGAGGAGAGAGACAGTGAATGTGTACGAGGGTGAGAAAGAGAGAAAGGGAGACAGAGGGCTACACCGGGGGTTGGTGTGCCTAGGGTCGCGCGAGAAGAGACCGAAGAGTGGGGGATTCCCTAGCAGAAACCAGTCGAGTCCCGGCCTCAGGTCGCGACGGGTGTTCAGTTCACAGGCGAGAGCCGTACCGTGCGGTTGGCCTCTATGCTGTTCCGGGTTTGCGTTTTATTCTCGTACCATTTCGGAACCGGTCACAACACACACATTGTCTGGATGATCTGATCCGACAACGGCGATACACTGTCGATAACATTGTCAATATCCCGTTTCTGAATAATTGTTGGACCGAGTTTGCGTAAAGTTTCCGACGTAATCGCGTGTGACGAGAGATCGCGGTGTGTGTAACCAGTGATAGAAACTTCCGTTACGCGAGTAAACCGTTGGTGACACCGTACACGAAACTATCGACATCTGGACGCACTTACCAATCAACAGCCAACGTCTCTTGCTCCGAACGGTGGCGTTACGCGACGTAAACAAACTGAAGACGGGAGTATATTTCCCCTGGTGTGTGCGCGCGTGTGTGTTTTGTGTGTCTCCTCCGTGGTATGGTGCTGGAAACTCTAGGATTTCGATTTCGCGCAGTGTAAACCACCAAACGTTTACTGTGCTCTTATTCACCACCGTGGCCGACGACGTTTGTTGCCCGTCGAATCTGTGAACACTGTGAATAAAAAAAGAAAACGTAAAGAAACTAAGACCACGCTTCGAGAAGGATTCTATTTACCCCGGTGTATTGCGAAAGTGAGTGAGAGTGACGGTTAGTGTGTAAACAAGGCGACCAGTGATAAGAGAGCGGAGTTACTCTCGTTTTTTCTGTTTTTATTTTCTATTTCTTTCGTTCCACGACCAAGATATCTCGCGAAGATTCTTCTTTTTCTGCCACTTCTGCCAACCACCATTCCACCCTGGTCGAGGAGCTTCGGCGACTATTAGAAACCGGCAGCAACTTCACGGCACTTCGTGCACCGAGTGGTGAGTTTTATCTCTATCTTTCATTCCTTCGCTCCGACTCCCTCCCCCTCCCCCGCCACCCGTTCTTCGTTCGTGCTTTTTGTGCGCAAAGATTGTGAAGCGAGCCGCACTTGCGCCTAAATTCCCTCTCCACCCACGTCAGAGATAAGATCCTCTATGCCCGGAAGAGGAGTTTGAAGAGATCCTACAGAGAGGAATCTCTTTGACGACATCGACGTCGATCGGTCGTCCACTTACACCTCAAATACCGACGTTCTCTCATCTAGTCGGGAATAGAAGACGCGCGATTTACTCCCGATAGGGTACGTCCAACGTCTCGCGATCCTTTTATCCGGGACTCCTTTGGTGTCTTTATTCCGTCCCATCCCACTTGCCTCGTGCTCGAGTCAGTCGTTGCAGACGAGATCGGTATCTCTAGCAATAGCAGGAAACGTTCACGCGCCAAAATAGTCGCGAAAAAGATGGCAGACTGGTTGGAGATCACCATCATCCGGAAGGGGTGGTGTTATCGGTCACGTGATCGGTACCGGTAAATGGGCTCGATCCCGTAACGAGTCTCGCGACCAATTCGTTTATCGCGGCTTCGAACGGATGGGAACGCTTACTCGTGGAACGGACAATCGTAACCGTTTATTACGAAAGTGGGACGGACCCGGGGATTATTTGTTTCGATGGCAGGCGGAAGCCACCATGCGAATAGGAAGGAATCGATCACTTACTTTCGTCATGTTGTCCCACGACATTTCGCCGGTTTACACGATCAATATTTACTCCCATCGGGTATATCCTTCCCCGGCTGGTTGTATACTCGTCGTTGTCGGCAAACGCCATTTTCGTACTTTCGGGGGAATTAATGGTGAATAAATGTTGACTATCGCGGAAAATTAATGTCTCAGACAGACGGGATATAAAGAAACCGACGGTGTAAATAAACGACGTTGGGGGTCAAATTTTGTTTCTAGGCTTTGAATATATTGTCTAATGCAGTTTTATTGGAAAAGTACGATTGCAATATAGGTCACAGAGGTGATCGTTAAGGGGTTAATTAAGTAGAATAAATAATGGCCGTAATGGAATGGTCTATTATTTTGTAATTATTGCCCGATGTGTTTTTGTTCCGAAAATTCCCAATCGTTCCGGTATTAAACTTGTACTTGCTTTCATCGTTTACCTGGAGAGTTCCGGGCGTTGTTTCTGAAAATTCCCTATTCACGAGTTGAATGCTTAATCTGCGTACGCCGCTTCTGGTTGCGTACGCAATATATCGTTCGAATCTCTTCGTGATCCGGAACGTCCAATATTCTCCGGCCTTTTTGCAATTCGAATTTTCACAATCAAGCGGCTTCTGAGGAAAAAAAAGCTGAGTCCGCGGGTGTTTATCTTGACACCCGTGGAAAATACTCGTCGCCGTGAACCGTCCGCGAAACGTTAACCGAGACGAAGCAAAATTTCGAAACTCTCTGGGAAACTTTTTAAAAACATCGTTGGTCCGGTTCTCTGTCAGAATTTCGAGTAATGTACATATCAAATCGTGGAAGTTGAGCCATCGATTTTATCTATTGGAAAAGGATTGCACGTGATCGCATTGAAAACTGAGAAATAATTCCTGCAGTACAAGTATATATTGGATTTACCTGTGAGTAACTCGTGGGTATCGGCAAAGGAAAGTGGTATGAATCATTTGAAAGAAAAGAGAGGGGTTGGTTCGTGCCTCTGAAACGACAGCACCCACGGTGACTCATTGGTTTGTTTAAGTGAGATTGGCATGTACAATCATTCAGATTAAAGACTCTTTTTTTTCTGGTGTGAATTCACCGATAATTCAATCGTGTGCATTGTGACTGAGACCGTGATGACGATTGCGCTTTTGTGAATGAAAATATTGAACTTAAGAGAAGGAAGGATTATCCAAACGGAGCAATTTTAGGAATCGTATTTATCTTTACCTGTCACAAAATAAAGTGTTTCCTTTGAAGATATTATAGATTTTTTTAATTCTCTCATTTTCAATTGGCAATGTATTTACATAATCATTTGGCAACTTTGTATAGCGTGTTGGTAATTATAACATGTAGGTACTATCCTAGTGGTGCATACCCTAAATTTAGCAAATTATTAGCAATCTTTATTAGATTATATGGATCTTCTTGGTCTAAAGTTACATCATATGGATGTTTTTTTACGTAATCATCTCAATATTGAAATAGATTCTTCTAGTAGTCCAAACTGTATAAACCTTGTTATATGCGTGTTGTGTCGAATAGTTAGAAAAAAAAATTAACAAATTTAATTTCTAAAGCATCAAGTACATTCGTGTATAGGTCACACGAAATATTGTAACAGTGAAGCTCGAATATTCTGACGGAGGAGAATCTGAACCGGTAACCTCGGCCCTGGCTCGCACACGGTGAAGCCTTAATTATCCCCCTCTATTAAGAATCAGTGCAGGACGCTGTACATCCTGCGTAACGTGCACGCCGAACGGTCTGCTTAACGCGGACGATGAGTGACCCAATTTCCACGTGACCGGTCAAACGGTTCGTACGAACCGCCCCGAAGTATATAATGGCCTGTGTCCAGCGTGGTGCGCGCAAGACTGAGAAATTTAAGAGCATTGTCGTGTCGCCGCGACCGAGTCGGAAATAAGAAAAGTTTTGAATGAAACTCTTTGCACGGTATATCCGTCGAGGAAAACTCGCTCCGTCTCTGTCCGCCTCTCTCGGGGCTTGATTCCGCATCCCTCCCGCCGCGATATCAGAGGGCGAGGAAGGGGTTGTCTGTAAATCTCGAGGAAACCATCTCCTCGGGTATCTGTGCCGAAGGAGAACGATCCGCGATGGCACGATAAAAAATATGGCGCGGAAATGATGAGAAATAAAAGCTCGGGGGAAGGTTCGTTTTTATGCCGTAATCTTGATGTTACGCGGGGATACATGCGCGCCGCGGCGCGTATAAAAGAACGCAGATGTATTGCTTTACGAGGGAAATGAGATTTTTATTCGTGACTACGCGAGAGACAGAAAGCGTCAACGGGGCGAATTCTAAATGCTACCAGGAACACACAGAGCATCGGATTCGAAAGCTTGCGGAAGCGTACCGCGTTTATCTGTTTAAGTTGTTCGTTCAAGTATTATCACCTTCGTATTCTGTTTGTTCGATTAATTTCTGAGTGATACAGAGAGGCTAGATTTCTTTCTATTTACCTTTGCCTTTTACATTGCAATGCTGTATACTTCATCGATATTATCGGCGCTATCTCACTCTATCGTGTGATCCCCATGATATTCGTTACGCTTTAACCGCGCCGCGAGAGAAAACCTGGCCGAACACAGCCAGAGGGAACCGGCTTTGACGGAAATTACGGAAAACTATGTGGGCGCTCGCACGACTACAGTGAAACAGCGGAAGATCCAGCGATGTTTGCTCGCGAGATCGAGAGGACCGGCATCGTTCTGGTTTTAACGAATGAAACGATAGAGAATTGGTTATTCTTGTAAACTGACGAGAAACCCACTCCTCGATTTACCGCTGTGTTTGACTTCCTTTACTTCCGAATTTCTTGAGCTTTTTTTTAACTTGCTGGATTATATTTGGACTCCAGAGCTAGAGTATATTAAGTCGCAGTTATCAAACTTTAAAGAAAAGCAAATCAAAGGCGTACAAATTATGGAACTTTGTTTATAAGTATTATAGCGAATAAAACTTTTCATTTAACAACTCATTTCCAATAGTATTCAACAGGTAATAATAATGAATATTCGTAGCAGGGCATCAATCGACAAATCAATTATGGTCGAAGTTCATCGACTCCCCGGTTACGACGAGAATTAACACTACATAGAACTACCGATGATAAACGCATGTTTACTTTAATCGATCGATAAACATGGCAAACTTGAAAATTTACAAACAATAAATTAACTAATTTCTTCACTTTCATATCGTAATAAAAGTTCCAAAGATCTTAGAAAATGTATTGGTATAACATTTTAATCATCGTTATAGGAGTGCACTGACAAGTCATTTTGACTTGTTTGGTAGTTCTAGCGTTAAAGGAACGCGAGGTACGGGCCACAATGAATATCGTAACGGTCAGCTTTGCCAATGATAATAATTAACGAGCTATTCTAATTGCGGCTATTAACGCATCGGCGGCTAGAGCGAAATAATTAATTACTGGCCACGATTGTGTCTCCGGACGAATTAATTATACGATCGTGTGGCGCGCGAAATTGGGACGCTCGCGAGAGACTTAATCTCGCGTTTCCTCTCGAAAATTCGGTGCTACGCAGCTCGTAGTATATGTATACGTTGTTCGCGATCTAAACAGCCGGTTCCGTTACAAATGGCCGGGTTGCCTGGCGCGGGAGCTGGTACCCCCTACCGAAAGTCCGTCATAAATCAGTCGGGAACAAGTTACCCTCCCGAGAAACGTATCCGGGAGCAGGTAGGAACCGAGACGTCAAGAGACGCGAATACACGCGACGCCAAGGATGAGAAGCGCGAAAGTTAGCGGAACATTTGCGTTTTACATCCCGTTACGTCACAGCTAAGCCGTGCAACGAGGATCGGGACAAAAAAGAACGATCCTTGTCGTTGTTGTCGTCCGTGTTGTAGTTCTCTGTCCCCGTGTTTCGATACGGAAGACGGTCTCCGACTGGTCGTACGAGCAACGTTAGTCGCGACATCAGCAACAACGACGGCCGGAGTATAGCGGCGGCAGTTCGAAAGTTTCGCCCGAGCGCGTAGCGAATCTCCATAAGTTGAGGGATAGCTTCTTCTTCTTCTTCTTCTTCTTCTTCTTCTTCGCAAAGTGAGAAAAGATTGTCGCGAGAGGCGAAACCAGCGACGGCGGGGCCCTGGAGATGGTGCGCGCGGATATAGCCGCCACGCCAGTAATACATTACTCGGTTGTCTCGGCGCCGCCTGGATCTTCAACGGCTATCTCCTTTAAGTTTTCTCTCGGATGGTCCTTTCGTTCGTCTCACTGCTGCTGCGTG